GGTACAGAATCCTAAATGCATCTGCCATTCCAGAAGGTCAGTTCATTGAAAACAAGAAAAGTGCAGAGAAGCTGTTATGCTCACTAGACATCGATCACACGCAATACAAATTTGGCCACACAAAAGTCTTTTTTAAAGCTGGCCTGCTTGGTACGTTAGAAGAGATGCGAGATGACCAACTCGCTCGTATTCTCACTAGGATCCAAGCTTATGCTCGTGGATTACTGATGAGAGTCGAGTATCAGAAACTTGTGGAACGTAGAGATGCCCTCATGGTCATCCAGTGGAACCTTCGTTCCTTCCTTGGTGTGAAAAACTGGCCATGGATGAAACTGTTCTTTAAGATAAAACCTTTGCTAAGGAGTGCTGAGTCTGAAAAGGAGATGGCAAACATGAAGGATGAATTCAATACGTTAAAAGAAGCTTTGGAGAAATCTGAGGCCAGGAGGAAAGAGTTAGAAGAGAAAATGGTCACTCTTCTTCAAGAGAAGAATGATTTGCTTCTTCAGGTGCAATCAGAGCAGGACACGCTAATGGATGCCGAAGAACGATGTGAACAGCTCATAAAGAGCAAAATCCAGCTAGAAGCTAAAGCCAAAGAGCTGTCAGAACATATAGAGGATGAGGAAGAGATAAATGCAGACCTCACAGTCAAGAAACGCAAGTTGGAGGATGAATGTTCTGAGCTCAAGAAAGATATAGATGACCTGGAGCTGACATTGGCCAAGGTGGAAAAGGAAAAGCATGCCACTGAGAACAAAGTGAAGAATCTGACTGAGGAAATGGCATCCCTTGATGAAAACATAATGAAACTCACCAAAGAGAAAAAAGCTCTACAAGAGGCTCACCAGCAAACACTGGATGACCTTCAAAGTGAGGAGGACAAAGTAAATACATTGACAAAAGCAAAAGCTAAGCTTGAACAACAGGTGGATGACCTTGAGGGCTCATTGGAACAAGAAAAAAAAGTTAGGATGGACTTGGAGCGTATCAAGAGAAAAATGGAAGGAGATGTGAAACTGACTCAGGAGAGTGTAATGGACTTGGAGAATGACAAACAGCAACTAGAGGGAAAACTTAAAAAGAAAGACTTCGAAATTAATCAGCTGAACGGAAAGATTGAAGATGAGCAAACAGCTTCAGCACAGTTGCAGAAAAAATTTAAAGAAAATCAAGCTCGAATTGAAGAACTGGAGGAGGAGCTGGATGCGGAGCGTGCGGCTCGTGCAAAGGTGGAGAAACAACGATCGGATATTTCTCGAGAACTGGAGGACATCAGTGAGCGCCTAGAGGAGGCAGGTGGGGCCACAGGTGCTCAGGTAGAACTCAATAAAAAAAGGGAGGCAGAGTTTCAAAAGTTACGCAGGGACCTTGAGGAAGCCACCCTTCACCATGAGGCCACCACTGCCTCCCTTCGGAAGAAGCATGCAGACAGTGTGGCTGAACTAGGGGAACAGATTGACAATTTGCAAAGGGTCAAACAAAAGTTAGAGAAAGAAAAAGTTGAATTCAAGTTGGAATTGGATGACCTTTCCTCGAACATGGAGAGTGTGGTAAAGGCCAAGGTAAATCTTGAAAAGATGTGCCGTTCACTGGAAGATCAGATGAATGAGCATAGGTCAAAAGCTGAAGAAGCACAGAGAGCACTGAACGATACGTCTACCCAGAAAGCCAAGTTGCTGACTGAAAATGGGGAACTTGGACGACAATTCGAGGAGAAGGAATGTCTGATTTCCCAACTCACTAGAGGAAAGACCTCCTACACCCAGCAACTTGAAGACCTGAAAAGGCAACTTGAGGAAGAGGTGAAAGCAAAGAGTGCTCTTGCTCACGCTGTACAGTCAGCCCGTCACGATTGTGACTTACTAAGAGAGCAATTTGAAGAGGAACAAGAAGCAAAAGCTGAGCTCCAACGGGCATTATCCAAGGCCAATACAGAGGTAGCAACATGGAGGGCAAGGTATGAGACTGATGGAATTCAGAGAACGGAGGAACTGGAGGAAGCCAAGAAGAAACTTGTACAAAAATTGCAAGAAGCAGAGGAAGCAGTGGAAGCAGTGAATGCAAAGTGTTCTTCTCTTGAGAAAACAAAACATCGGCTGCAAAATGAGATTGAGGATCTGATGCTAGATCTTGAACGGTCAAATGCAGCATCTGCGGCCCTGGACAAAAAACAGAGATCCTTTGACAAAGTCATTGCAGAGTGGAAGCAAAAGTATGAAGAGTCACAATGTGAGCTTGAGGGAGCACAAAAGGAAGCCCGCAGCTTAAGTACAGAGCTCTTTAAACTGAAGAATTCTTATGAAGAAACGCTAGATCACCTTGAGACTGTCAAGAGGGAAAACAAGAATCTACAGGAGGAGATCTCAGACTTAACAGATCAAGTGAGTGAAGGACGAAAGTGTGTTCATGAGTTAGAAAAACTGAGGAAACAGCTGGAACAGGAGAAAGCAGAGTTGCAGTCTGCACTAGAAGAAGCTGATGCTTCAGTCGAGCATGAAGAAGGTAAGATCCTACGAGCTCAGCTGGAGTTCAACCAGTTGAAGGCAGATGTTGAGCGCAAGATGGCTGAGAAGGATGAGGAAATGGAACAAGCAAAAAGAAACTACCAGCGAATGGTTGAATCCTTGCAGGCGTCTCTTGAGGCAGAGACTAGAAGTCGTAACGAGGCCTTAAGAGTAAAAAAGAAGATGGAGGGAGACCTTAATGAAATGGAAATTCAATTGAGCCAGGCCAACAGGCAGGCAGCTGATGCCCAGAAGCAGCTGAAGATGATCCAGTCATGCTTAAAGGACACTCAACTACAGCTGGACGACACACTTCACAGTAATGATGATCTCAAAGAAAACATTGCACTGTTGGAGCGCAGAAACAACCTGATTCAAGCAGAACTAGAAGAACTGAGAGCAGTGCTGGAACAAACAGAGAGGTGTCGCAAACTAGCTGAACATGAACTTACTGAAGCAACTGAGAGGATACAACTCTTACACTCCCAAAACACTAGCCTCATCAACCAAAAGAAAAAGCAAGAATCTGATCTGCTTCTGTTGCAAAATGAAATGGAGGAGCTAGTGCAAGAGAATCGCAATGCAGAAGAAAAGGCAAAGAAAGCCATTACTGATGCAGCTATGATGGCCGAAGAGTTAAAGAAGGAACAAGACACTAGTGCACACCTTGAAAGGATGAAAAAGAACATGGAACTGACCATTAAGGACCTACAGCACCGTCTAGATGAAGCAGAGCAAGTAGCAATGAAAGGAGGGAAAAAGCAGCTACAGAAAATGGAGGCACGTATCCGTGAGCTTGAGAATGAGTTGGATGCAGAGCAAAAGCGAGGTTCAGAGTCCATTAAAAGTGTGAGAAAGTATGAGCGACGCATAAAAGAGCTGACTTATCAGACAGACGAGGATCGCAAGAACCTGGCAAGACTGCAAGACTTAGTGGACAAGCTACAACTAAAAGTAAAATCTTACAAACGTTCTGCTGAAGAAGCCGAGGAACAGGCAAATGCCAACTTGGCCAAATTACGAAAACTGCAGCACGAGCTGGAAGAGGCAGAAGAGCGGGCAGACATTGCAGAATCTCAAGTAAACAAGCTGCGTGCTAAAACTAGAGATGGTGTACCTGGAAAAAAATCCCAGGATGAGTAATGTGTCTTGAGTAGTTGTGTAATCTCACCTAGAGTTGTTTGTTCACTAGTTTTAAGTTTAGAACCAGGAATCCCTCTAAAGAATTGATATGTCCCTTTTGTTCTATTTCTATTTCTGTTTTCTTTTGTTTTGGGTGGTGTTTGTGTGTCTCGGTCCAGGAAGACAGATTGGTTCCTGCAGTCTAATTGGTGCCACGCCCTGCCCAGTCAGCTGACTCCTAGCTGCCTATAAAAGCCTCCTTCACCACTTCCTGCATCACCTTGTGCTCACTTGCTGTGTTTGCTCTGCTTGACCCTGCTAGTTAGTTACAGACATGTTAGTAAGACTGCGAGTATCTCTGTGTGTTTATCTGAGTGTTTGCCTGTGAGAGATTGATTGTTGTTTGTTAGTTTGCTTAGCACACTCATTTGTAATACCGACCACCGCATGTTCTTTGGCCTTGATTGTGGATTGCCCGTTTGCTCACCTTTGTAAATAATGGCGCTTTTCCACTGCATGGTACGATTCACTTTTGGGGGGTTTTCCACTGGGTACAGTACCTGGTACTTTTTTTAGTACCACCTCGGTTGGGGTTCCAAGTGACCGTACCATTACCAAAACGTGAAGTGTAAACTGTGCTGATCACGGATTGGCCGGAGAGAATCGTCACTATCTGCGTCACTGCGCCATAATTGTGCATAACGCTCTGGGGAAGTAGGGAGACCGACGCCATTTTTGTTGGAACATTTTATTGATTTTTTGGATAGGGAGGTAGGGAATTGTATTTTCTTTTCTTTTGTGAACGAGGGTAGTTAGAGGTACAAGAATTAGTTCGTTTTTGTTTGTCCTTTTGGCGCCATTACCCTAGATGGGGCGTAACAAGGATTAAACAGTCAAACCATAAATATAATTGAAAAAAAACATGAAGGCAATACTCCATAATGAATGTTTTGGTTAATAACTTGAAATGCATTTTCATGTTGAAACTGAAATAAAATACTTTTAAAACCACAGAAGCTCATTATTGTGTTTATCACACCACATGACGTCAACATCAATTGACAACAAGTTATATATATAAAGACAAAAAAGACCAGACTTATTAGTTATCCCATTTATTTTCACATATTTTAGCTGACCAAAAGCAATTGGTAAATTGGATGAGGCCAACCACTTTTCAAATGGGAGCAGCACAGAACAGTTTTTTTTATACAAAAATAAGACAAACATTTGATCAGATTCAGTACAGTTCTATCTGTTCAGCAACAGCAGTAACAACAAACTTGAAAAATAAAGAACACACCACATGACGTCAACATCAATTGACAACAAGTTATATATATATAAAGACAAAAAAGACAAGACTTATTAGTTATCCCATTTATTTTCACATATTTTAGCTGACCAAAAGCAATTGGTAAATTGGATGAGGCCAACCACTTTTCAAATGGGAGCAGCACAGAACAGTTTTTTTATACAAAAATAAGACAAACATTTGATCAGATTCAGTACAGTTTTATCTGTTCAGCAACAGCAGTAACAACAAACTTGAAAAATAAAGAAAGAAAACAAACTATTCAAATTGAAACCACTTTAGTACTTCTGCAACCAATCTAACTCTGTAACACAGTTTATTTACATTTCTCACAGATATCACACAAAACATTTTATTTTCAATGCATCGGTCTAAACTTCCCTTTTTAATGGAATACTACATATTTACATTTAATACAACATACAATCTGTAACCATTACAGAAACCTCTTCTGTCTGTTATACACTTCTTTCCCAAGTGTATGTTTTAGTTTCCTACATTCAGTACTTTGAAATCTAACATATGCAAATCTATATACACATCTTTCTGTATGCTAAGAAAATTCCAGCCTCGATATATACAAGCATAAAATATATTGATCTTACAGTATAACTCTAGAGACAACCCACATGCTTCAGTCAATCAAAAGATGTTATTTAAACACAGCAGGTCATTTAAAACTCTAATAGCAGTATAGATATAGTTACAGTGGACGTCCACTGGGGCAGATACAACTTGTATCCCAACACTTTAATAAGTTACAGAAAACATGCAAATACTGCATTAATTTTGTAGATAATAAACCATAATTTCAGGGCAGAAGACGCTTGGACAAGGAAAGTACTCATAACTTACACTGAGGGGACAGAATTTGATTTGTCGGACAAAAACCTTTGGTTCATTCTCTTTTTTAGTCCACCAGCAACCAAATGAACTCAAGCTAATACAATTCAAGTAGATGATATCAACAGTTCCTCAGACATCATATTAGTGATAGTGATTTAGAAACTTGGGAACATTGGCAAATGTAATTTGGTGTCTACCATATTCATTGCACAGCTTGAAAATTGGGCCAAGATATCGTAACCTTTCAATTTCACCAGAAGCTTCCACTAAAAGGAGGTTCTCACTTCTCAGATTAAAAACATCATAATAACAAAGACTATTTTCTCCAGTGCCAAAGTCATATTTGTCCATGCCTGGGTGGGGTTGAGAGTACAAATTTAATCTTTTATCCGGGGTATTAATTTAGTCAGGTTAGAGGCCATGTTAGATTAGATGCAAACAAAAACAAGGCTGAGAAGGACCTTGGTAACTAACTTTCCAAAAAGCATCTTTCCAGTGGACCAAAACCTCTGGAAACACACTATAACCTTAAGACGGCACAACCTACATCCAATGGGCTATACGTCTACACATTACAGCCTCTTTTCATTCACATCAATTGGTGTCCACCCTAACTAAACTTGATGTATGTTTGCGAGGATTTGTTTAGACACTGGTTTCTCTTCAGTGTAGCAATAATTTGCAATGTCAAAGCAAGTTTTTCTAGTTCTGCCAAGTAACAACAAAAGGAGCTGTTGATTACATCAACATGCAAATTCTTACTTTCACAGGTCGGATTCTTTCAGCTCTCGTAAGGCAGACACAGGGAACGTGTTTGTTAAATATCATTGAATATAAAAATATGTTTACAAATGCAGAGCTCAAGTCAGTGTACAGATAGAAAGGTTGTGCAATTCCGTTTACACTGGACAGATGTGCTGACTGCACAGTTTAGTTTAGTAACAGGTCAGCCATGATTTGGGAAGTGCTACAAGCTAGTTGATATTCCAGAGAGATGAGGTTACTCACAGACTGGATGGTTGCACTTGCTGCTGCAACGGCGCGTGATGCGGACCTGGAGCAGCTTCGCAATCTTTCGGACCGTCGTCCGGACGTACGTACAAAAGGAAGAGGGTGACCGTCGCGAAAGTGGTTGCGTTAACTGGAAAAGCCCGTAAAAGAGTGGAAGTAAGTCCACGCGTGAAAACCCGCCAACCTTCACGCTGGATGCTCTTCCTCGTGCAGTCCATGATGCTGCTGTACTGGTAGTTTCCGCCAACCCCGTCAGCCTGGAGCCGGGATTTTATCACGTCCACCGGGTATGTCGAAAGCCAGGACGCGATTCCCGACATGCCGCCGGCGAACAGCAGTTTGGGAATCATGTACGGGTCCTCCGGCTCGCATCCCAGCGAACGCGTCAGGAGGTCGTACGCGAGGAAGTAAACGCCGAAGCCCGGCGTCTCCCGGATAAGAGTCGTAACCATTCCCCGGTTGACTCCCCGCAAGCCCTGACGCTGATAAATGCGAGCCAAGCAGTCCAGCGAGTTTTTGTAGACCTTCCGAGAGGATGACTTCTTCTCGCCCGTTCCTTGCATCTGCATTCGGGTTTTGGCCAGTTCCATCGGGCAGCAGATCACACACTGGATGGCACCGGCCGCCGCTCCGGCTAGGAACTGGTTCATAGGTGTATCCTCACTCAACATGCGCATGGTGTTGCCCTGAACACCAAAGACGATGGCATTGATGAACGTCAGGCCCATCATGGGTGACCCAATGCCTTTATAAAGGCCAAACATCTGCAGAGAAGGTGAAGCAAAGTGATCCAAGCTGCATTTATTTGCATGCATAAATGCAAAGATATCAAAGACAGCACCAGAGGCATCAAATATTTGAGTAATGTTTTTTTTTATTTTTTTTATAGTTTTATGCCGTATCAACATCAACGACTATCTTCATGGCACTCGAGAATGATAAAATACACAAGTCTTAAGAACTATACTTCAATGACTTGTATAAAATAATTTAACAATATTTACTGTAAAACGGTAAAAAAGTAACGAAATAATATATCATATTTAAATAATAAGTATTAATAAAGAACAATATAAAATGACTAAAATATTAAACAAAATATTAGAATAAAATATAAATTTAAATATTACTGTAGTTTTATTATAAACACTACTATAGTTCAAAGCCTGAGTCTGAAAGGGATTGTCACCCAAAAATTTACATTGTTGTTATTTACTCACCCTCGTCTTTTGAAGTCATTAGGATAAAACTATTTTTATTTTCTAATAATTGAGAAACAAGTAAAATTAGCAATGAAATTAATTAAAATATTTGTAAAATTATTACACTTAATAAACAGTAATAAATTAATTTTAAAAAGTTTTTTCTGTGATTTTTTTATATACAGTATACATTGTTTACATTTTTGAACTGTTTACATTGACTAACAGAGTGAAATCACGTCAGTCAAACAAACAAGTAAAATAAATAAACAAATAATCAAAACAATTATATACAATCTTCAATATTGATATTTAATAAAAATTCTAATATTTTCCAAGGAGAAACTAAAAACAAAAAAAGTCCATTAAATGTACTTTGAGTAAAAACATTTACTTAAATCATTTAATGCTAATAAAATAAGTTTTAGAATTAAAGACTTACAAAAAAATTATACATAATTTTTTTTTTCAGTATTTATCACAAAAATAATGGAGATCTCAATGAATGTGAAGCATTAAACTTGAACAGATAAATTCACACTAAATAAAAAAATAAAAAAATTATAATTAAAAAGTTAAATAAATTTGCCAATTTATTGTGTGTGTGTGTGTGTGTGTGTGTGCGTGTGTGTGTGCGTATGTATATATATATATATATATATATATATATATACACACCTTTTTTTGCATCAAAAATACTAAAATGAGAAAATCTCTAAAGTACAACTAAAGTACAATTAAATGTTTTACTTTAGCTGAAGTCTCTTTTGCGTAGGTACTTAAGACTTTTAATTGAGTAAAATGTTTGACACATTTTCTGTACTTGTACTTAAGTACAGTTCCTCAGTACTTTTGACACCCTTGACCACACTTACACAGCAACGGAACGTGACCCAGATTTCACGTTTTCCCCCGCGACACAGATCTGGTTTTCAGTGTAAGTGTAAACAGCAAAAAAAAAATTTTTTACATAAAAAAATAAATAAATATAGTAATACGGAGCTCCTTTTTCCACTAATCCATCATGAATAATTATTTTAAAATGTAACTAAATATTAATGTAAATATTAACTGAAATAAATATTTTATTACATTTAATAAATTTATTAACTTTTTAACATGTAATAAAATTAAAAAAATTTAATTAAAATTAACAATGGCAGAGTGCACTGTATATATATATATATATATATATATATATATATATATATATATATATA